CCGCTTGGGGTCATCCCTTGGGAACACGTGCATTGAATTCCGCTTGGGGTCATCCCTTGGGAATTACAGCGCACACCTCTGTTATGATATGGTTATATGTTCTGTTCTGTTATGATATCTGTTATATGTTGTACTGGTATACTCTGTATCTGACTTTCATGCAGGAGTGAGCCAGGGGTATGGAGAATTCTCTATATACCCGGAGCTTACTGAGATTTGAAATCTTACCCCTCGTTGGGGCAACATTTTCAGGTGCACAGACTTCCGGTGAGCCTTCGTTAGGTAGGGACACGACACGGGGCTGAGACGTTTGACGGATCAGTATTTTGAGTAGCTGTAGGCTACTAATCTTTTTGGAGTGTACCTATGTATTTCGTATTTCCGTAGTGATGGATCATTATGTTAGATCCTGTATTTTGTATATGTCTTGTACATGTCATTCAGTTGATGCATGTACCTTTTGTATTCAGGCATGTTGATATGACTATGTAGTATTCAGTTATGTTTATGTATTGGACTGCATGCTGTTAGATTAGTGGCACAGAGCCAAATTCTGCATGCGCCCATGGATGGGTATCTGATTATATTGCATGACTGGTACTTTTGAATATGAATATTATTGAAACTGTCTATCAGGAACTCTTGGGAGTGAGATTGGAAAATCCTCAGTTGTCCGATTTACAGAGGTTACTCTGTCCGATTTTGGTTATACTTTGTATGAAGCTAAGAAGAAAAAAAAAGTTAGCCCGTATTTCCGTAAGATAAGTCTTCCGCTGTATCTGTTTATATCATATGTATGTTAATTGAACCGGCTCGAGACGGGGATGTTACAAAGTGCATACATACACATAACTTAAAGTAAGCATCATTTACAACATATCTTCATTACAAATCAGGGAACTTAGCTTACAAATTACTATGATCATTCCCTTGGCTCCCATCCGCTAAAGAGATAACCAAAGGCATGAGCATAGGCTAAGTCCATTCAAATAAAAAAGGATATACATCTATCAATGAACAATCCTATACATGTAAACTACAAAATAACATGTATAATCTCAAAAGACAGCATCTTCATGTATCACTACTATTCCAAATAAGGCCACTTGCCACTGGTGGCTCCTGCAGCATCTTTACCTGAAAGGGGGTCCCCACAACACGGGGTGAGATATACGAATATATCCAGTAAACCAGGGGTCCTTGGAGCATCTCTCCACCCCATAGTTCCAAAAACAGTGTAATAGCAATAACAATAATATGCAGTAAATACATATCTATGTGAAGTGTAAATAACATCTCCAGGAGAAATCCCTCGAGCTCTCAAGCTGTCCTAAGGATACTCAGATGCAAATAGTCCTACTGGCCAGCTAAACTACTAAGTATGATTTATGCATCGTCATGCAACATACCAACATAGGGAAACACCATCCTATGCCACACCAAAGCATACACATACGTATAACAAATCATTACACTATTTCATTGCATTTATATACACTATCACAACCACTACCCAATCAGGGCTTGGTGGAACAATCAAGGGAATTACACCCAAGGTCCGAAGGCTTACCTCAAAGCTTCAGTCCACCTTTGTTCTTCACCAACTCAACAACCAAGCTTTACAATCAATACCAATTTAAGTGAGCTAATCAAGTTCCATAGCTTCCTCCAATGGTTGGTCCTCCAACGTTAATCCACAAGGCTCAATCCTAGCCATCATATAGGTACAATTAACATTCAACCAACTCATTGTTTACCAATGCAAGAAAATCCACAAACTAAGTATACAACCTAGCAATTTTCAAAGCACAATCAAATAGCTAAATAAGTTCATTTCTACCGATTAAACGTCATTCCTAGCATTTTTCATAACATGTACTAAGTCTCAATCCACCTAGAACATAGCCAATTTACTCACATAATCACAAACCCTAAAACACTATTCATCTAAACATAAACTCATGAAAATAGAGTTCAAGGAGAAGAATCTTACCAAAATGGGGTATACAACCAAGGGATGTTAACCTCCTAAGCTCCCATGGAAGAAATCACTTTCAATCTCCTCAAAACCCCAAATTTTTGCCCCAAAAAGCAAGGAAAATCCCACTCCACAAAGACTCCCACTCAAAATCAAGCTTTGTTGGTGAAAGAGGGGAGGATTTGGAGTGGTTTAGGCTTTGGAATGGACGAATTTGGCTAAGGTTTGCTCAACCTAGGGTTTCCCCCTTCTTCTTCCCTCTTCTCATTCTCTTCTTCTCTTTCTCTTCCTTTCTTTCTTTCCTCTTCTGGTGGTCGACAGGAATGGGAGGGATTTTGGGTTCTTTTTGTGGTCTAGTCACTTAACTTAAGTTAAGTGGAATAAAATGGGTATTGGTTCATCTATCTATTCAACTCCATTAATTACCAAACTTTACTCAAGTGTCTGGAATATTTTTCTAGGAATATTTCCACTATTATTTTTATACTTTGGGTACTTTTGCCTACACCCATTTATACCCCTTAATTTTTACTGAGTACACTTTTTACCTCAAAAGTGACCCCAATTCCCTTAATTAGGTCCTATACTTAATTTTACTCACTATTACATGATTAATTATTCAATCACATTTAATTTACTAATTAATTAGGTTAGGGCTATTATAAGAATCGAACAATATTTGAATAAGAGAGAGCGAAACCTCGACGAAAAATCATACCAATAATCGCATCTGAGAGCAAGAGAGAGAAAGAGAAATAGGGTTTTATGGTGAAGAGAAAAGAAACGGTCCTAACGTGTGCCCATGCTATTTTTTTATTTTTGAAAGAGCTCATGTTTTTTTATTAACTCTGGTCACGTGGCTAATATATACTGGTCACTACATTCGTCATTACTAAATTGCAACGTAATTTAAGCATTACTAAATTGCCGTGCTAAAATGCCCTTTTTGGTGTAGTGTGTACATGTATTAATGAACTTGGGATATGTATTTGTGGGTCCAAAACAATTGAGTATAGTCCTCATTCAATTTTTTATACCCTAAAATGATGTAAATTTCGGAACGACATAACTTTTGGCTTAATTGTTTGAATTATATATTTTTTTGATTTAATATAACTTTTCGATATCTATACCATGACAAATTTCTAGAGGGGATATGGTAAAAAAAAATTCAAAAAAATGCTTCCATCATGGGTTTTGGGAATTATAAAATAAATGGATATAGATCTTTAAAAGCAATGCTATATTAACATAAATATGTATATAAAGCTTAGTTTAATAAATTTAGTTTAGGGTATAAAGAGCTTTGATGAAGATTGTTCTCAATTATTTTGGACCCTCAAACCCATATATAAAGTCCAAATATATGTGTGCATGATATAATAATTAACATGAATTAATAAAAAAATGAACCCAATTTAACATGTCATATTGAAAATCATATTTTGACACTCATATCAAGTCTATTTATACATGTAAAAGATTTTAAAACTTGGTCTAAATCAAAATTATTGATGGATATGAATTTGACTAACTCATTTACTCAAATAACTAGCCCAGTTAATCAAGTAACTGGCAGTCAACGCGGAAGGTTAAAATTAATATAAAAATTGGGACGAAGTGATAAAAAAATTTAAATACATGTCAATCACTCTTCCTTTTGCCCTAACTGTAGTTTCTGGTTGGGTAAGTTTCCTTCCCTTCGAACAACTTTACTGTACCGATGAACCGATTTTTGAATCACAATATACGATTATAAGCTACTTTTTATTGTGTGACTTAGTTCTTTCCGCCTGAGTGAAATCTAAAGGTGAGATACAATCCACCCCCCAAAAAACAAGTTGAGTACACTCTTTTTCCAATTTATAATATTCAGGATAATGCCGAATTTTGGAATTTGAGAGTGCTTCTAGCGGATTCCATGATGCCATCGAGAAATCATGAAGAGTTGAAAATCCGAGAGGTTATTTTATGTTGAATCCGAAGCAAGTGCCCTCATGTTTCTGCTAACTTTATTTATGCACAATTTTGTCATACAGCAAGAAAGAATCCCATGTAGTCATACAGCAAGTATTGCAAAAATTTACAAACTTTACTTCTCACACTTTTGTAATAGATTGGGAAGAGGTAGTTTTTGAGGTGGTGTATACCAAGGTTCTTTATATGGTATCAGAGTTTGAGTGACTATAAGGTCACAAGTTTGATTCTCACTGCCCTTCACTTTCAAGTGGAATTAAAAGAGAAAGCATGAAAAAATAAACAAAAAATTGGGCCTGTGCAGTTCCACGCTTCTAGTCCAATGGGCTCTCGTGTGAGGGGGCGTGTTGAGATATATAGTCCCACATTAATTGTGTGAGCAACTAATGTGGCTTTTATAAGGCCTTGGACACTCCCACACTTTGAGTTAGCTTTTGGAATGGTGTATCCTAAGATTCTTGATGAAATGTTAATTTTACATCCTTTCTACCCATTTCGAGTATCGAAGGCAACAAACAAGAAAACATATATCACATCCTTTGCCCACAGACGACCTAATGCAATCAAGTAATCTTCTGGTCTACAAAACCAGAGCACATACATGAAAAACCGAGCTTGTTTTTTTTTGGGTTCTACTAAAGAACAATGGCAGAACATATAAGATACGAAATAATATGCGAGTTTTAACATCGTCTAGGCCCCAACAATCTCTTAATGTTAACAAAATTGAAGGCATTTGAATTTCTTACTCTCGTTGAACCAAAATAAGCATCCGTTCTGACAATTTTCCAGCGGAAATTAGATAAATATATACACAAGGTGTATTTTGGCCAATCTAAATCCAAATTTTGTACAAATTGGTAAACAAACCATGTTGGCTGCTTTAACAACCAAGTAGCTACCCATCAGAATATAATTGAATTTGTTCATTTAAAAAAATAAATTTAAATAAGGTCAAGCAACACCGTTTGATTTACAGAATGGGACATAAGGTAAAGCTTCAACTTAATTTGGATTATCATGAGACACATTGTAAATAATCAAA